ATAAAACAGGAAGTTTTTTAATCTTTAATCGGCCGGGTCCATTTCCATTTTTGTGGGAGAGGGGTGTTGAATTTACTTGCTAATTTGATATTCTCTATTTATAAAAATAATTTTTAAATAATGTCAAAAGTTAATCAAAAGTCAAGTCACATTTTCACAACTTTTTTAAAAAACAATTTTTTCTTTTTAATTTTCTCTGGCAGTGAATTTTATTTTAAATTTATATATTTTTCTAACTTTTTGGCTATAATTAAATTTATTTAGTATTTTGTTATTATTTCAAAAATAAACTAAACAATTATTTTTGTGAAGATTGAACTTCTTATTTCTTTATGCATATTTTCTTTATAAAAATAAGAAAAATTCTGAAATATTTACTTTTTTAATTTTGCTTTTTTTGTTAAACTGAAAAGAATATTTAAACGCAAATTATGTTTCACAAATTTCTGTCTAAAAATTTTGTTGAATAAAATTAAAAATACGGCAATATATCGTTTTCTAGGCTTAATTTTAATTTTTACATCTTCACAAAAATTTTACCTTCGATTTAAAAGCACAGTTTGATGTATGCCACCTATTTTAGTTTCTACATATTTTTTTAAATAGATACATATTATTTTTCAAAAATAAAATTTGTCTTTTATATAAAATATTCTATCAAATAATAAATCATTAAATTTTAAACAAAAGAACTCTCAACATTTTTTTTTTCTCAACATTTTTTTTTGAATTAATTTATTAAATATATTTGTATTTATTTATTGTTTAAACAATGAAACAATTTAATTATTTTTAAATTTCTCTTTAAATTTATAGTTATTACGCAAATACTTTAACAAAAAAAACAAGTATTTAATAGTAAATACAAAAATTATTTTAATCCCTAAATTACTAATCTTCTTTTTCAAAAACATAAATATACACATATACCTAGTAATCATTTTAAATATTTTTTTATTTAAATCCCCCTTTTTTTAATTTAAAATTTAAAAAATATTTATTTGTATTTAATTTTTATTTTAATATTTTTTAATCCTCTATAAATTAAAAAAATAATTATTAAGTCTGAGAGCTTTGCAAAATATTTTTAAAAATTTTATATTATTTTAATAATTTCCTGTTACTTGCGTAATATCTACATTTCCTTTTTTTTTTAATTTTGAGGCACATATAAGCTGTCAATTTGTTACTTTATTTTGCCAGTTAGTTTAATAAATAAATTTTTTAATTTATTTTTTAATTTATTTTTTAAATTAATATTTATTTTTATTTTTACTCATTAAATTATATAAACAATCTGCATAACCTCGGTTTTACATTTATTCAATTCCTCAAATTTAAAATACCTCAGTATTTCTTTAATCCATCGATAAAGGGAAAATTAACAAAGTATGGTAATTATTAGGGTATCTATAGTTTCAACAAATATTTATAAGCTAATGTATTTCTAGATCTTTGATTTAAAACACATTTTGTGCAATTAATAACAAAAATTAATACAATTTAAAAGAAACTTCTTGTTGAATAATTAAGAAATCTTTTTTCAATTAAATACCTCAGTTTTACATATTTTTATCCCCAAGGATCTACGTTTAACGGAGGCTTAATTTTATAAGAATATATATATTATTTAATAATAAATACTTTTATTTAATTTAAAATTTAAATAAATATTTTTTTAAAATTACTCTTAAAAATTTTTCAATATTTTTTTAAAATGTTAGCTAATTAGAATTTTAATTTTTCTTTATCTTAAAAATATTTCACCTGTATAATTTTATATAAAATTTTGTTTATTTGTTTTTAAAATCATCTGTCAACAATTTTTAATTAATTAATTTAATATTTACCAATTAAATTTATTTTTTAAATTATTTAATTTTAATTAAAATTTTTTATAAAAAATTTATTTTAATTAAAGTAATTTTCATCTGTCTCTTTATTTAACAAAAACTCCTTTCAATTATTACAATAAAAATTATTTTAAATATAATTATTATTACAACACCAATTTCTCTCTTTTTTGTTATCAAATTATTAAATTAAATAAATTTTTTTTAATTTCTTCTCATTTTTTTCAATTTATTTTTAATTAAAAACTCCTCTCTTCCGTTCATCTTTTTTAATTTAAACTTTTAATTAAAAAAATATTTTTAGGCAACCATTTAAAAAAATATTTTAATTTTAATGGATGATTAAAAAAAGTTTAAAATAAATTTGTCCTTTCATTTTACAAAATTTAATTTGATGAGCGAATAAATTTAATAAAAAGACAAGAAGACCGACCACGTAAATACACCTTTAAATTAATTTTTATTTTTTTATTTTCTTGTTTTTGTGTTTTTTAATTTATTTTTATTTTTAAATTAAAAAATAAATTTATTTAAATAACCGGTTTTAAGTAAAAAGAAAATAAAAAAATAATTAAATAAAAATTGTTAATGCGTGGGAGAGGGGGGGGGGGAGAGGAAAGTTTTACTTTAAAAAGAAGAAAAACAATTGATTTAATTAATTTGTTATAAAAAAGTTGCAAATCTTTTATATATAATTTATTGTTAAAAATATAGTAGAATATTCAGGTAATTTTTAAAAAATAATTTTAGCCCTTTTAATTAATTTGAGTGTTAAAATTTTTCTCGAAATTTAAAGCCTCGTAAAAAAATTTTCTGAGCAATTCCTTGGTCACTTAATTTTATAAAATTAATTAATTTTATTTAACATTTTCGTATATATTTTAATTTTATATATTATTAAAATATTTTTTTTTCCCATTTTTCTTAATTAATTTTAATTCTACCCAATTTTTTCTTAACCTTTTTGTTGTAATACATAAATACTTTAAAACATTTTTAAACTATCCAGTTTTTATTTAATTTTATTTTGATTTATTTTTTTATTATTTTAAATATTAAATACAAAAATTTTTTATTTAATTATTATATTTATTACCTAGCTTAATTTAATTAATTCAAATTTTTCTGAGTTTTTTTAATAATTATAATCTTTTCATTAATTTTATTTCCTATACTTTATTTTGTCTAAATATCTCAACTTCTTTTTAGAACGTTTCTTCTACATATTCTAAACTAATCCAAAAGAAATAAAAACAATTCTACTAAAAATAACACTTTATTATTTATTTTTATCAATTATTCAATTAATTTATTAACTTTTTGTTAACTTTCTATTTATTTATAACCTATTAACGGTCATGAGAAACATAAATAAATTACTCATATTAAACAAAAAACCATAAAGAATAATTATTAAAAAGACTAAAAATTATTTTGATAATTTTATTTTTTTTAATTTAAAATAAATTATTTTTTTAGTCTCGCCCCTTAATTTTTTAAAAATAATTCCTTTCCCTATTTTTGGCGACTTTTTGCAAAAATACTTTGAATAATCTCTCCTCATTTATTTCTTTAAAATAATTTTTATCAAATAAATTTCCTTATCAGAATGATAATAAAAATATTTTTTTCTTCAATATTTTTTAAATAAAAGAAAAGATTAATATTTAATTGTTTAGATTCTTTAATTTATTAGAAATAAATATATTTTTGTGTGTGTTAATTTAATAATTTCATTAACTTGAAAAATAATTTATTTTTTTATTTCAAATCAATCTGAACGGACTTTGACAATGAATAATGAATTCTAGCAAAGTACTGCCGAACAAAATTTTTCTTCTTTTAGAATTACTTCCTTTATTGTTGAACTAATCCCCCGTTGTTGGAGCTTCATCCTCCGTTTTTGGAACAACTTCCCTCATGTTTGGAACAACTTCCCCTATGTTTGAAACAACTTCCCGCGTTCTCAGAACAACTTCGCCCGTTGACTACTAAATTAGACCAGATCAAAATTTTTCGGGTTAATAAACTATCCACTTTAGAAAACAACTGCCTCTGTTTTTATGTACATAGTTTAATGTAACTATAGCAGAAATGTTTCGAAACAAAAAATTTTAAATCGAAAAACTCACCAAAAAATTTAAATAAATATCGAAATTTCGAAACAGCCCTGGACTATAGCAAAGATTTATAAATTATAACTTTTCATTTTCGTCTTTCGCCTTTTAAAATTCAAGTAAAAAACTTCAACAACATCCTTAATTTTTCATTTAATAATGAAACACCCATAACTTTATGTTTAATTTTTGGAAATGACAGATAAAGATCACAATTTTACTTCGTGTTGTGAATTGCTACTTCGCTTTTTAAATTATAACTTTTAATTTTCGTGTTTTGCCTTTTAAAATTCAGTTTCGACAAACCCTGCTACCAATCAACCTATTTCTACCTTTTTTTACTCCTTTCTATCCTACCCTCTTCCCTCTTCCCTCACCCCTCACCCCTCCCCCCTCCTCCCCCCCCCCCTCATTCCTCCCTTCCCTACATCTCTCCATCTTTAGATTTTATTTTTTCCTCTCTATCTTTATAATAAATAAAAATTTATTTTTAAAAGATAAAATCATTTATCCAATATGTCATCCCTCTTCTTGCCCTTAATTTCCCCCATCTCTTTCTTTACAATGCTGGCAGCGAAATCTAAATATAGGTTGGTTATTGGCCAAAAATTTAAACGCGCGTGTTGTCTGTTAGACTTTTTACAACTACCCAGTTGCCAGTCTTTAAATTTTATAGAGACTTTTGATTGTATATTAAATAATTTTTTTTATTGATTTTTATATTTAAAATATTTTTATTAATTTTAATTTTTGTATTTTTAATTTTTTAATTTCTAAAATTAATTAATTTGGGCTGAAAAAATTTTAACTACTAAAATGAGGTGTAAAATTTTGGAACAATGCCAACTAGATTTAAACAAATGTGAGTGTTTACGTTAGTGGCGGTTCACATGAAGGGGCCTGACTATGTCGAATTTTCCTAAAACATTTTTTTACATTCCTAAAAATTTTAGCAGATTAAAAATTTTTAAATTTTTTGGTAGCGGGTTGACTCTATTTTGAGATTTAAATGCAAATAATAAAGTTCGGATCCTGACCGGGTCCGGATTTTCTGGATCCCGTGGTCCGGAATATGGGTAGTTTGATAAAAACAGGATTTTCCTACTTTTTATATGAAAATCAGGTTCGGATCGTGTCAAAAGCTCGGATCCGGTCCGGCTCCGATATAAAAAACGGCATAATTCTCCCTCTCAAAATGGGGAAAGTAAATCAAAAAATTTGGGTGGGAAATTATCAAAAATGTAAATTTTTGTCGCATACAACATCTAAAATTCTCAAAATTTTCTCCTTCGGCGCCAAGAAAGGAATACTCCTGATCAAATTAAATTAGAATTTTTAGATTTTCTCGCGAAGATAGTTTTTTATCTTCGATATTTTCTCTAAATCCCATAAATCTATTGGTCTTTATTTAAAAATGTTATTTTTTCCATTAAAAATTTAAAAAATAGTTTTTTTCTTATCAAAAGTTAAGAAGAGGAACTTTTTTGAGTCAAAAAATGTCAAAATGTTTAAGTGCATGGCGAGCGAAAATCTGTCCATCCTTGCAAAATATCTCCATCATAGCATAAACTGATTATTTTTAATTTCAATCGGACCCACTTTTATGACATTCCACTTGCACAATAGTCTCATTCTTTCATTCACAAAAAATTTTATCTTAACTTTTAATTTTAATATTATTGCAATTAAAAATAAATAATTAAATATTTTTTGTTTTCAATTGTAATCCTTTCATTTATTACCACAAATTTTAATACTTTATATAGATATATATTTATATTTATTTTTTATCTGCCATTTAATAATCCAAATCTGTATTTCCTAAAAATAAATTTTAAATGCCGACAACTATTTATTTTAAATAAATAATTATTTTTAAGTCCATCTTTAATCCTTTACTCGCGCAATAAACCGATATTTTTAATATATTTTTAAAATAATATAATCTCCCCTTATATAAAACATTTATAGCATTTAGCTAATCTTTCTATAATTATTTTATTTACAAATTCCTTAAAATTTATTTTTTTTATTTTTCTATACTTTACATATTACAAATACACTCCTAAATAAATTTTTAATAATATTTTAAGATTTTATTTTTATATTTCTGTTTTATATTTCTATCTATATATTTGAAATTAGTATAATCAAGAAAACTGTTAGAAACTCTAATTTATAAAATTCTTTATTTCGATATTCTTACTTCGAATTAATCAGATAAATTAGTAGTTTGTCTCCATAAAAATTTTAAATTATTAAATTTGAATATATTTTTCTATCAAAAAATTTTTTTAAATTTAATTTATAATTATTTATTTATATTTTTTATTAAGTATTCCTATCACTTAAAATAATTATTTTCTAATCAAATACAAACATATTTTTCCCTTATTTTGTTTGTCATTAAATAATATTCTTAGTTTTCGGTCAGAATCTTCCTTTTTACTTTTATTTAATTTTTTTTTCATTTTTTATTCAAGATTTTTAAGGCTTCTTATGAATATTTAAATACACAAATTATAATATTAATATATTTTCAGATTAATTTTTTGTAAACAAAAAATTAAAACATTAAAGACCAAATTATTTTAATGTACTTTTTTTTTAATTTTAATTTTATAGTTGACTGTTTAAATAATTATTTTAATTCTTTAATTAAATATATAGACTAAATTTATTAAATTTTAAATAATTTTTCATCCTCTTTTTAACTAAAAACTATCAAAAATTAATCATTATTTACTAAAATAATTAATTAAAAATTTAAACAAAAATTAATTTTTTTAACAAAATTTGTCTGGCAATCCTTCCTTTTAACTTTTTTAAATAAATTAATTTCTTTCTCCTTTTTGGCCTTTTCATGCTGTCATGGTTTTATAGTAAAAACATTATTATTTTCGCGCACTAATAAAATTATATTTCCTTTTTACTTCGTCACATTTAGTGCCATAAATAAATTAAAAACTTTATTTTTAGTTAAAAATTGTCAACCTTCTTTTTACATCACTCTCACACTTAAAATGGCTCATTTATTTTTATATTCACACAAATATTTTTACTTTTTGAAAAACAAAAAAAATTTTGTGAGCCAGACAATTTGTATGTTGATTACGGGACACGCCCAAAACGGCGCGCGGCCATAACGGCGCAAAGCCTTAACTTTCTTCAAGATTTCTTAATTAGCTATATCAGATTTAGTATCAAACGATTCCTCTCATCGAGCTAGGGAGACACAATTTCCCTCAAGTTATGGCTTTGAGCCGGTATGGCCGAGCGCTGTTTTTGGTTTTACCCATTGATTACGCATTTCTGATTTTTGCGAATCCAGAGAAAAATAATTTTCTTATATTTTAGATTAGTTTTTAAAATTACATATTTTAAATATGTATTTACCATTTAATTCTATGTTGAGAGCCATCTTTCTGCTAGCACTTGTGTTACTTTAGAGTTTATCATTAAGAAGCTGTCTGTAACTAATCATTTTACATGATTCAATACCATAAACTTTCATAAAAATAACCGATAGATAGTTTCGAATGTTCAAATAACTAACCCTAGCTTCAATTGCTTTTACTAATAACCAGGAAAAAAGCCCGAAGTTATTTTTAAAATTAACAGTATATCCCAATTTATCTAAAGCTTGTTTATATTTAAAAATCCCAACAGACCTTACATTTTCTCTCATTAAAATTATTTTTTCGGTTGCCTTTAACTACAAACAAAAAAGTAAATATTATTTTTACACACTTTTAATTATCTTTATTTTTAATTGTAAGCTTACTTTTTGTGTGTGAATTTTGAGCAAAATCTTTTTGTACCCTATAATTTTTTGTTGAGAGTGACAACTTTTATTTTGAGCTATAATAATAATACTTTAATAAATGTAAATATGTCTGTTTATTTTGTCTTATTTAAAGTACTTTCTTTGAATTTGAAACTTTATATAAAATAATTATTTTAGAGATTTTTCCATTTTAAAACGCCTTTTATTTAATATACTTGTTAAATTTTTTTATTTATTTTAGATTAGATTTTTATTTTCTTTGTTTTTGGTAAATAATTTTAAATAAAATTTTAAAATATAATTAATTTTTAGACGCCAAATATTTATAGGTAAAGTAAAACACCGAGCAAATAAAACTAATGTCTAATACATATTAGTCCTTTACAAATATCGAGAATTAAACTATAGAAAAATCTTTTGTGTTTTTTTTCAAAATTTTTCATCATAATCTTATACCTAAAACTACATATGTATATTCAATTTTTTTTGAAAATTTTTTTATTAAATTGTCTCTATTTTATACTTAACTAATTATTTTGTTTTTTAAATAAATATTTTTAAATTATTAATATAGCTAATTTATTTAAAAAATTCTTTTAAATATTTAAATAACATTTGTAAAGCTTTTCTTTAAAAAATTGTACCTTTTCTAAGCTTAAATTTCCTTCAAATTTGCCCTTTTATAAACACAAAATTATTTATTCTCACGCAATCTATTTTTTCTTTAATTTAAATTCGTAAATATTTTTTTCTTTTTTAATTGTGCCTGTTCGTAAATAATTATTATTTTTTATTGTTATTTAAATTTAGCTTGAAAATAAATTTAAAATAAAATTTAACTTTTTTGGAATATATAAAGTTTCAAAAATCTCTAAAAAATTATTTCTATTAATTGAAGATTTAATAAAAATAATTTTTCAATTTTTATTAGCATTTATTTCTTCACAATTATCCCAACTTCCACAAATATATTTTTTATTTAAATTTTTCATTATTATTAAAATATTTTTTTATTTTTAGTTATCACAATTATTTTAAATAAAAATAGAAAAAATATAATTAAATTATTATCAACAAAATAACAATAAAAAACAAAATTGGTAATTTTATTTTTTTAATATTTCTTATTTTTAAAAATTTTCAGAAAATGCTAAATTAACAAACAAAAATGCAACAACAATTAATATATTTAAATATTAAAAATTAAATATATTTAATTAATTAAAAAAAATAATTTTTTGTCAATTGTGAGCATTACCAGCAAATGCCCTCTTCTTTAGAGGCAATGATTCAAAACATGATACAAGCGGGTATTCCACAAGCACAAATGATGCAATTATTGCAAACAATGCAGGTACTAAACAAAAATTAATTTTATTAAACAAACAATATTATTAAAAATATTTACTTTAATTTCCTAAATTAAATTTTTCTAAATTGTTTTTTTAATTTTTCTAAAATCTAAGACACTTAAATTCTTAATGTTATTTAAATTTAATTTCATTTTGTTGTCATGACAATGTAAAATGAAAACTTTAAATAAATTAAAAAAAAATATTTTTTTTAATTATTTAATATTTATTTTGGATTAATTTATGTACTATTATTTCTTTAATTAACATTTCTAAAATTACTAATTTATTCTTGTTCTTCCTATTTAATAACATCCAATTTTTACCCTATAGTTAATCAAAAATCTAAATTATAATTAATTTAATTAATTTTTAAAATTTCTTTTAAATTTTTTGATAATTATTTGCATGCAACCAAATAATAATTTTTTAAAATTTGTTTCATTATTTATTGCGTGTTACTTTTGATGAAAAGAAATTTTTAATAGATTAATTTTTATGACAAAAAATATTTAAAAAAATATAAAATTATTTAATTTACTAAGAAACAATATTACAATTTTTGTTTAAAAATTAGATATTTGATTAGTTTTTATTAGTTCTCAAGGGTTTTATGGAGCTCATAAATTATCTTTCAGATTATCAATTTTATAAGATTTTTGGTTACCTACCGCACATACTCTATTAATTACCCTGGGTAACTATTGTTTCGACCTCTATGTGGAGAGAGTAATTGATAAAGGCGGGGTAATTAATAGAGGTTATTTTAATTATAACTATTTATTAATTATAACTATTTTTAAGAGGGTAATTATTGTTTCGACCTAACCTTCACATCTTATGATTTCTAAAGCTTTTTTATATTTTTTCCCCAAACGTCTTTTAGGTTTCTATATATAATTATTACAATTTCAGCTGTTTATTTTAACTAATAAATTTATTTAATTTGTTTCATAAATTATACATAATTAAATATTTTATTTATTATCTACCTATTCCGATCTTTGATGTTTTATATTCTCAACTTAAATATTATTTTTAGATTTCGAAATTTTTTAAAATCTTTTTTTTAAGTTTTAGTTTAACAAACAAAAAATATAAGACGATTGGATTTTTTTAAAAAATTGTTTGTATATATTTATTTGTTTTATTTAAGTTTAACAAAAAACTGGGTACAGGAGTTTCTTTTCTTATTGTAAACAAATATCCGAATTTAGTTCTTTTAATATTTGTCTAACTCAACCTCTAAAGTTTTTGAAATCATCTAATTTTTCCGAAGGTAATTGCGCAGTTTTATCGCACACTGAAAAAAACTTTGTTTACCCTCTAAAATTCTTTAACAATTTTTAGAAAAATAAAATATACCTATTCAAAAATCCTTCATTTTGTTAATAAATTTTTCGTGGTTCTTTATTTACAAAGTAATTTTTAAGTAATAACTAAGCTCAATAAAAGAGACTTCATACAAATGAAGACCTTAATAATTAGTAGACTCTTGGTCTTGAGTCTTGATTCCAAGACTTTTCTTGTGTTTTTTTTCGGTCTTGGGGTGAAGTCTTGGGCTTGAGTTTTGAGAATTTTCGGTCTCGTACGCTTCTAATAATAAACTTTGTATCTCAATTATTTCGTTGTTTCAAAAATTGACTTCTGGTAAGAATCTTTGAATTTACTTAAATTTTTAGTCTTAGGCAAACAATTTCCTAGTAGAAATTAATAAAGAGGTAATTAATTTTAATATTAAGCTCTAATTAATATTAATCTTGAATTTTAGGGAAAAATTTAATTAAAACTTTTTTTACTGTTTCTTTTTTATTTTTAATTTAATTTTTTACATATCTATTTTATTGTAATCTATTTTATTCTTTGTTTTTTTGTTCAAATATCAAATCTCATTTCTAATAAATTCGAGATGGATTTACTTAAATTTAACTATAAATATTTACTTCTTTGTTTACCTTTTATTTTTTATTTCCAACTATTCTTTAGCCTCTCGCCTACACTTTACTTTTTATCCCTTTTTGCATTTGTGCTCTAAAACTGCGCAATGTTTACCATTCATCCTTTCAACTCGAAGCTTTTCTTCCTTCTTTCCCAAATAAATAAATCCATAAAATAAATAATGGCTAGAATATGAATATGATTAAAAAAATATTTTTGAAATTTTATTTAAATTACCTGTTGGATTTACTTAAAATTTTATTTATATTTTAATTTAAAAACTCGACTTGACTGTCTACAATTAATTCATTATAACTATTATATTTGGTTCTTCTCATATCATCCTTAACTTTATTTCCTAACTTCAGATATTGAGTATTTTTATCCTTAAGCTAATTTCTAATTTATTTTTCTTTATTTAATAAAATATTAAAGTTAATTTTAAAATTAATATTCAAAAAATCATCCTTTTTTAATCAAAAAAATTATTTAAATTAATTTTTATATTTTCTTTAAAGGCTACAGCCACAAATAACAACAATATTTCTTCTCCAGCAATTAACGGCACAACTAACTCCGCCACTAATAGTTCAAGTGGCGGAGGTCACCAAACTGTTAATCAAGCACATCAACATTTTTCATTAGCTAATAATCAACATCAACAAACTGCCAATCAATCCGCAGTAGTAGCGTCAAGTGGCGGTGGAAATGGAGGATCTACTGCGGCAGTAAATACGGCAGGTGCACATCAAGTTGCTGCTGCCGCCGCTGCAAGTCTTCAGGTGAATAAATAAATAATTTTTTTAATTTGGAAAATATTTTTTCTGAGTAATATTGACAATTTAATTAGAAAATATTTTCATATACATATTAGATTAGCTTTAAAAAATAGATATTAATATTATTTAGAGTTTGAGAGAATTTTTATTTTTATAATTTTAAATTGAGTTTGCTTTTTAAAGTCTTAATTGACAATTTAACTATTACAGGACTAGGATTCTTCCTTTAAATGAAAAATCCAACTCTCGAATTTTTAAAATTCTCCTTTATTTATGCCTTTAGAATTGGCAACTAGTATCTAATAAATCCTACTTAAAAGGATTAGCTTCTTGGCTCTCAGAAATTCTAAAAAAATTTCTTAGTGGTAATCTTTAGTGGTTAAAAGTGGCATTTAACTTAGTTTTGGACTTGAAATGTTTTTGCACTTCTAGCAGGGTGTTGGACCAAAATCAGTCCAACACACTGTTTTAAATATTGAGCAATATTTTGGTTAATGTTTTGACTAACAAGTAATTTCTCCTTAGAGTAATATATTGTGTAATGTTTTGATTAGTTTTTAGTTCATGTTTTTTATATTTTGATTTTCGAGTGGTGTTTTGATTAAGGTTTTGTTATCGAATATTGTTTTATCAATTCTCAAGTAATTTATTTGCTATCGAAGATGAGCTCCAAATTCCTCCCCGCTAGTTTCAGAAATAAAGAAATTAAAACTTTTATTTTATACGTATAAGAGATATAAAAAATCTAAAAAAGCTAGAGATAATAAATGTTTGTTACGCACTACAAAAATCAGCATGTACATATATGTAAATACAAATCAGTAGCTCTCCGCTTTAAAAAATTTTCCCTCAAACAACTGGCCAAAAAAAGGCAGCTGTTCCAACGTGTTTAATGAGCGAATGCTTTAAGGGAGTTTTTTCTACCCCCTGTTTAATTTATTTAAGGGCTATTAAGGAAGAAGAAACATTTAATAAAATATAGTTTGTGTATAATTATGAAAGTGATTGACTTCTTCGATAGCGATTTAGGTTAGACAATGAGGAGGGAGGGAGAGAAGGGGATGAATGGAGAGATAGAGAGAGGATGTTGTGATTGGATAGATGCGTGGATAATGCCGAGTCTCTGTGGCATTTATTTACACCTTTACCTTTTTTTAATTTTTTTCTCTCCCCTTTATTTCTTCACCTTTCCATCCAATATTTAACTTCACACCATTCTTGACATATGATTGGACATTGATTTTAAAAATACTTTTTTCTACTCTATTACTCGAGTAAATTTTTCAATTTAAAATTTTTATTTGACTTTTTTATTTACCTTTACTTTATTTAAAAAAATTTAAAATTTATTTTTTTTATTTATTTACCTGTCTTTTATTCTTTTTTTCTTTCTAAATTTAATTTTTCTTTTAAAAAATTAATTTAATTTATCTCCAAAATCTACCAAATTCTACTATCTTCTGTACAAATATTTAATCTCTTTTCTGTGAAAATCTAAAAATTTTAAATAACTCCTCACAAAAGCCATTTAAATAAAATAAATAATTTTTTGAAGTAATTTAAATTAAAATAATTATTTTATTTAAATTTTAATCTTAAAAAATATTTTTATATAAAATACATATTTTGGATAATATTTTAAATAAATACTTATTTATTTGAAATTGTTTCTAAGCAAAAATATTCTTTAATTAAATACAATATTTTCATAATATTTATTTTCTTTCTTTAAATCTTATTTAATAATAATTATTTAATTATATTCATGTTTATTTAATTATTTCCTCATTTTTATATTTTACATAAAATTAAAAAAAAACTTTCAAAATTTCTCTCAGAAAATATAAATAAATGCACTTTAGTTCTTATAAACATTTTTCGTAAATATCAAAATATATTTTTTTATTAAATAAACGAGACAATTTAAATTATTTTCTTCTCTTTTTTCTAAAGGAAAAGAAATAATTAAATTTAAATTATTTTAATTTTAATTAATTTTTTCTTTTACTAAAAAGTTTAAAAATTTATGATATCTTCAATAAATACCTCATTTATTTTCTTTATTTTAATAACACCTGATTAACAAAAAAATTTTTTGTTTATTTAATTTCTAGCCTCTGTATTAGATGAATAAAAAATTTTTAGTTATTTTATTTACTATTCCTTCAGTAAGGTTAAAAATTTTTTTATTTACTTTAAAAATTAAAATAATTTTTGAGATAATTTTTTTTCTTTTTTATATTCAATTTTTAATTTAAATATCAACTGGTTAATTAATTAACTATTTAAAATTATTAAATAATTAAAAATAATAATAACTTTTGGACTTCTTTAAAATAAATTTTTATTTTATTTTCTTTTAATTTTTTAAGTGAAATAATTTTTAAAAAATCTTAAATTAATTTTTTAATAATTATTTCATTAAAAAATATTTCATTAAAGTATATTTTATATAATTTTCTACTATTTAAAAATATTTTTCTAATTGACGTATATTTTGACAAGTATTTTTTAAATAAAATTCTTATGTCAATAAACAAACCAATAAAATATTGTTTTTTAAAATTAATTTAACAATTTCTTCCTTATTTTATTTAAAAATAAATATTTTGAATATTTAAATTGTTTGCAATTTTTTCTTCTTCTTCAATTTAAATTTTCATCATTTTCATCATTTTTAACATTTTATTTTTATTTTTTAACATTTTTTGCAGCAATCCACGCATTCTTCCACCTCACAAACATTTTTACATAAATAAATAAAAATATTTAAATAAACATACACAACTTTTTCTTTATTCGTGGCAATTTCCAACTATTTATTTACTTCTACGATCCACGATTTTATCTCCATTGTATTTAAAGGCGCACCTAAAGTAAATATAAACATATATAACCAAAAACTGTTTAGCAACAAATCTTCATTTTTTAATTTTTAAAATATTTTGTTGAAATATCTAAAATTATTTTTGAATATTTTTTAAAAAATAATTTGAGAATAAATAAATAAATTATTTTTTTGAACATTGCTGGAACAAGAAATTTTGCTATGGAAATTCGTTATTTTATTTAGAAGAACTCTGATATATCTCAAACATCTAATATTTATTATTTACTTGGATATCTTGACGGATTATTTTCAATTGCCATATCCTTATGCTAATATACACATATTTCTATTTTTTTAATTTCTATTTTTATTTAAAATATTTTCTCTTTCAATTTTAGATTATTAGATAAAATTTAAAAATATTAGATCTAACATAAATGTCTAGATTCTTTTGGCAGACACCGAATAATACAAGCATCGCAAACATTCCAAACTCAGCACTAGCAACAGGGGGGACTTCCATTCAAACACAAATTACCCCAAATGTGGGGAAGTTGCGATAATATAAAAATAATATTTAAATTAGGCATTCAAATCCCTTACTTATTTAAAAACAAAAAATAATTTAAATCACTAAAGAGATTAGTGTGATAGACGGGGGTAGATAATAAAAAAAGGAAAAATAATCTCCCATTCGTGATTATTTTAGTTAAAAGATTTAAATAATTTATTTTTGGTTGAGATTTATATAAACTAAATAATAAAAAAAATTTGATAAACAGAAACCGGAAAAGATTATTTTATTTGAATAATTTAATAAATAAATTATTTTCTGATTTTAAAATTTAATTCGATAATAATTGTGTTAGAAAAATTATAAAATTATATAACTTTTATTTTATTTTAAGTTTTAGTGTTTATTAAAATTTATAAAAATAAATTTAAATTCAATATTAATTTTTTTTATAATTTATAGCAATTAGCCACACTTCAACAGCAACAACAACAAATACTAGCAGCTCATCACCATCAACAACAGCAACAACAGCAATACCAACAACAACAACAGTCTGCTGCATCACACAACCCGACAGCATCTGTTGCAGCTGTACAACAAGCACATGTTGCAGCTGTGGCTGCTAGTGGTGGGGCAGGTTTTGCACATAAATATTTTTAAATAAATTTTTAACTTAATTTAAAGCTGGCCAACATCAATCTACAATACACGCAACTTCTTTGATGCAACAAATGGCTGCCGTTGCCGCTGCAGCTCAGCAACAACATCCACATTCCCAACAACCAACAAATACTTCGGTTGGACTTCAAGCTGTAATGCAACAACAATTACAACAAACGGCAGCTGCAGGTTCGGCGGCAACACATCCTATGGCTGCAGCACTTGCCCAGGCAAGTGGAAAAAATGTAAATTAATGAAAAAATATTTCTTCTATAGTATAATTTTGGAATTTAATCATAAAAAAGCTCGAAAAATGCAATAAAAATTGTTTTATTTATTCACAAAATATTTTTTTCTCAAACTACATAGAATTCTTTTGGAAAATTTTATTGCCAATTTTTAAATTTTTTTTTGTAATTGTAACACTATAAACAAACAAATGATAAAATATTTAATTTTTGCTCATAAAATATTTTGCAGAATTTTAAACGATTTCCAAACTTTCCTTTAAATTTTGACTTTATTTACTATTTTCAGTCCATGCTTTTATTTATTAAGATCTTTTTTAGGCTCAATTTGTTGCTTCAATCCAGCAACAGCAGCAGCAACAACAAGCTGCAGCAGCTGTCGCTAATAATGGCAATACGGGTGTATCTGTTTCTTTACCTCCTGGAATGGCTGTAGCAGTACAACATCCACAATTAGCTTCTAATGTCGGACAAAATGTTTCGGCAAACAATGCTGGACAGTTGGTACCTTCTTTGGCTACTCCTTCTCTAGCTTGGCCAATTTTTCAGCCAATAGTAAACATTGTAAGAAGAATTTTTTTATCTAAAATATAACAACCAAATTTTCAGCCATTTTTCGACATGGCCACTTATCAAAAAGTTAATTTGGATGTTCAGCCAAGTGCCATGGCCAATGGAATGGATTTACCATTAAATGATATTAACACACTTAGGTTAATTTAAATAAAAATTTAGGTATATTAGGCAATTTTTTTCTTTTTTTTTCAGGTTTTTCTTTAATTTTGGTGTTCAACATGCTAGAGCTATACTTCTTCGTCAACATATCAATTCTCAACAGCAGCAGCAACAACAGCAACAACAACAACAGCAGCAACAACAACAACAACTTGCTTTACTTCACAATTCAGGAACAGGAGCACAAGCCGGACAAGAGTGAGTTAAATAAAAAATAATTTTAGAAATAGGTTAAAAGTAGAAAGAGGACTTGTGTTTGGGCTCATATTGGTGATATTTGATGGAAGTAAATATTTACCCGTCGAGATGAGTCGAATAATGTTAATTTAAGAAAAATAGGATATCAATATGTTAAGAATAAATCAAACAGGAGTAATAATCCCAATATAATCAATATCTCCACGGTCGATCGTTCCAGAAAATTGATCATAGCTAGTCCAATCTCGGTAATTTTAGTACTATTCGACTTAACTCGGCGAACATTATTTCTTAATAATTGGTATTGTGGCATAAAATAAATTTATTTAATTAGTATTTTATATTTTAAAAACAATATATTTTCTTCTTTGGAAGGTTAAACAATGCCAGTGAACAACTACAGATGCAACAAAAATTATTAATGCATCAGTCTCTATTAAAGTAATTTTTAGAAAAAACATAATATTTTTATAAAAATAATAATTGTAGTGGTAATCAAATGACAATTGTTGATACTAGTAATAATAGTAATATTGAGGGAAATCGTGTTGTTTGTGGTCAAACAATTCAGTTTAATCCAAATCCCCAAATAAACGAACAAATAGGGCAAAATATTTCTTGGCAAGTAAATACCTCTTCTAATGGAGCAAATACACCACAAGGGTTAATATTATTGCAACAAACTGGAGGAGGAGGGGAATTACCTCAACAAATTGTTGGAATTGGTCAAATAATTGGAGGAAATGGAGGAATAATAAATACAGGGGATAATGACAATACAGGCCAAATAAGTTATGGAAGAGCTGATAGTACACTTGGGGGAATTGGGGTAAATTGTGGAAAAATAAATGAGATAGAAGGAGGAGGGAGTGGTGGAGTTAATATTATAATGAGTGAAAATCCTAGTGGAAAATTTAATAATATCCAAAATAGAGGGAATATTCCATCAAAATTTTATGGAAATAAAAAATCTGTTAATGTTATTGGCCAACAATTATTACAAGAAAGGTTTTATTTTTTGTCTTACCTTAAATGTTAACTGAAATTTTGAAAAAAAATTCCCAAAATTTATTTTAATTTATTTTAAGAGCTCAAAGTGATGCTGCTGCCGTTGCGGCTGCTGCTGCTTCAATAAGTGAAAAATCTGCAAATCCATCAAATAATAACAACGCTGGTGGTGTTACTAACAATGCTGCAGCTGCTGCTGCTCAGCTTTTACATGGTGGAATTGTTGGCTTTCAAAATCAACTTCAAATGAATCAATTGGTTTAATTCATCTCTTTATATTCAATATTAATTCATTATTTTAGGCAGCACTTATGGCCAATCAGCAGAACCAACAAAATGCGAAACTTGCAAGTCTTTCTAATACGGGAGTTGATTCATCAACTGATTTGAGTTCAGGGAATGTTGGAGCAGCAGGTATTATCATTTTGTTATCTGAAAATAATTTTTATAGTCCAACAACTTCGTTCTTCTTCTCAACAAAATACAACACAGCAACAAACACAATTAACAGCAATGCAACAATTATTGTTACAACAACAGCAGCAGCAACAATTATCTGCTGTAATTGCTGCCCAGCAACAGCAGCAACAACAAGAACAGCAACAAACTGATAATGGTTCTGCTGGGCATCAGAGACAAACACCTTTGAATGATGTTAATATTTTTTGAATTAATTTTAAAAAAGCTTATCTTTTTAGATTGTTCGCACTTACTTTTTAAACAGCAGTAATGGAAACAACAATGGGAGTAATACAAATAATGGAAATTCCGTTAATCGTACTCCAAATTCCACACCTAGTAACCATTCAAATACTCAAGGAAATGGACATGGAGGAAGCTCAAAAAATGGCACTCCATGCCCAGTAAATGGTCGGAATAGTGTAAATGGGTCACAACAACAGACAACTTTATCTGGAAATAATTCTGTTTCGCCTAAAACTGGATCTGCCAGTGTGCCTACTGATCCAGCACCGAGAAAACAGTCTTCAATGATTCTTTCTAATCCTCTTAATGTAAATACTTTTAATCAAAGCCTTTTAATTAATTAAAAATTTTAAAGGCTGAGTTGGGAGAACTTAAAGTGCGTGGTCTTAATGCCCTCCGCAGTCAAGAAGCAATGAGTGATAGTCTTCAAAAACGTTTAGTTGAAATGGCAGCAACTTTAAATTCTAATCTTGTTGCTCCAATGGTATCAAGTGGAGGAGGAGGAGGAAACGGCAATGGGGGAAATGGAGGAAATATAATTTCAACAGGAGGAGGTGCTTGTAATGGAAACAATATACCTCCAGCTATTTTACTTCAGCAACAACAACAAATTTACCAACATCAACATCAATTGTTACAACAACAATTACTTCAACAACAAATACTAGCACAGCAGAACCAACAGAACGGGCCAATCTCTAGTCAGAACCAACAAACTTCCTTGGCAAATAATTTTTCGGTAATTTAATCGGAAATTTTTTCATTTAATATTTCTAGAATGTTATTTCAAATCAACGTTCGCAAAGCAACAACGGGCAGCAGCAACAGTCTGGAGGTACAAACACAAACTTGTTACAGTCGATGATTCCATCTGCTGAAACTGAAGGTGCTCCAAATCTTTTGGCTGCCACAGAAATGCATTATACAGAGACTTTTCGACAGGAGGGAGGAAATAGGAAAACGTAAAAAATTATTATACATATTTAAATATATTAAATTAAAATTATTTTCAGTAAACCAGCCACCCCGCAATCTGGTAGGCAGCCTCCAGAACTTGAAGTTGGAGCTGGTCTGAATCAAAGACGCAAAAGTGGTGTTTATATGCTTGGTACTTTATAATTATTTTTATTAATTTTATAAAAAAATTAATTCTTAGGTATGAACATTAAAGAAGAAAAACCGTCAACTCCACAATCTACCTCTCCTCAATCAACACAACCTACGGCTACATCTACAGCGGTTAAACCTATTAGGAAATATTCTTTAAAAAATATTTTTTAGATCTCTACAAGTGCAATGATGAACTATATGAATAATGTGTTAACTTCTGCACGTTCTCATCTTCAGGGGCAAGGTGCTGGAATACAGTTTGATCAAAATGGAAATCAAGTAATTTTAAAAAATTAATCGAAAAAGTCTCAAATTTTTTGAAGATTGATTACTCTTCTCGCCCGATTGATCAAATCTTTCGCCGAGCACGTGAAGAATTAAGTCACTCTCCTTCAAATTTGTCTGTTTCTAATGCTAATGCTGTTTCTGCTGTTGGTGCTGTTAATGCAGCTTCACTTTCATTGGCCCAAGGTTGAACTTGGAATTACTACTTTAAATATTTATATTATGGATAGTTTAGTTAATTTTTAGAGTTCTTTTAGAGATAACTTAATTTTATCCTGTATCTTAACTTTTTAAAAATAATTATTTAATCATTTACCTTTTTAACAAACCAAATTTAAATAATAAAATAAAAGCAAAAATTAAGTTTCAAATACCAATGTCTCCCATGTTGCTTCAATCCCCTCAACAACTTCAAATGGCGAAAATACATTGACAACATCGGCAATAGGAGGTGATTTAGGCGTTCTTAGCCGTACTTGCCTAATTGGTATTTCTGACACTAATCGTCGTGGAAGTATTGGAACTGCTCAACAATTAGCATCCGCCCAACAAATGACTGTTCAACAACCTGTTCCTTTATCCACAGCTTTATATCCAGGAAATTTAACTCCTCAACAATTACAACAACATTATTTTCAATTACAACAGCAACAACAACAATTACAACAAATTCAACAACTGCAAGCACAACTACAGCAACAACAACAACTACAACAAGGAACTGACAATAATACATCCTTGGATGGTAATTTATTTTTGTAAAAATGTATAGGTATTTTAAGTTAGGGCTGAAAGAATTTTTTGAATTTTTGAATATTACATCCCTGAGACAATTAAATGATTTTAAGCACAGTCCTCTGATTAAATATAGCATTCGCTTTCTATCCACATCTTACGAAAAAAATCCTTGAATTTGGAGAATGTTTAAATATTCTCAAGGAAAATGAAATTGTTTTTCAGGTAGCAAGAAACGTGTTTCCTCGGGTATGGGCTCAGAAGAAGGTCCTTCTGCAAAATCAGCTCGTTCATCTCTCGGTAACTCCTCAGGCATTGAATCAACACAAGCTTGGACAACATCTTCTGCTGATTTAGTTGTTGATACAAAGAATGTTCAATGTTCTTCTGCCGGTCCAGAGCAATTAGAAAGAGAAGAAATGTCAACTAATGATAATCCAATTAATATTGTTGATGGAAATATTTCTTCTGATTCTTCAAAACAAAAATTAAATGAAAATATTGAAGAGGATGATTTTAATGGAAATGATGAGAATAATTTAATTAATGTTGTACATGATAATGAAGATATTAATGAAGGTGAAAGGGCGGCAGCAGCTTTAGAACAAGGAAATAGTACTTCAATATTAACAAATAATATTAGAGCACAAGATGAAGGAATTGATTCGCCTAGTAATGGGAAACAATTAAGGATTGTAGAAGATGAAGAAGATGATCAATGAATTTAAAAGAATTGGGAAGCAAAAAAGTAAAATTATTTTGAAATTAAAATTTTGATTAAAAAATATTTAAATATTTTTTTAGTTTAATCTTTTCTTCTTTTAGTTATTTTTTCTAAATCAGAAAGAATTGTGAAATCAAAATTATGTACAAAATATTTTCTAAATGACTAGACATTTTATTAATTAATACATATGTTAATTATTTTTGTTATTCTAATTTTTACAGAAATTTTAATCTTTTAGTTAGTTAATTGTCCCTTTTTTCACTAAATTTTTTTCTTTTTTTTTTGTAAATAATAATCTTTTATTTTTTTTTTCTTATTAACATCGGTTATTTAATCTAATCTGAGTCAATTATTTTTTTCCTTTTTTGGCCATTTTTTGATGTTTTATTCTCTATTTTCTCAATATTTTTATCACGCAATATATTTTAAATGATTGGAATATATTAAGGGTTTGGGGCATTTGTATTTAAAGTTAGTTAAATAAATGGCCCAAAGCACTTCAATCTTCCAATCTCAATTAAAAAATTACCAAAATATAAAATATATTTTTGTTTATAAATTTTTATTTTCGAATTAAAAAATATATTTTAATTAATTTATCTGAAATTATTATTTCCAAAATATTTAGTCTAAAATTATTATTTTACTCTTTTCTTTAAATATTTTTAAAATATTTTTGTTTCCCATTTTTTACAAATTTACAAATTTTCTACAAATTTAATATGTGAAAAACATTTTTTTTTATTTTCCCTCATAAAAATATCCCGTGAATAATTTTATATATTGTTGATTTGGTTGATTCGTTCTAAAAAAAATTCCACTCATCCCCAAAATTCATTTTTGTTTGTTTTCTAATTTTTAAATATATTTTTTCTTTTGTTAAATATTTTAAAAATAAAATTTCTTTTCCTATTGAATTTTAAAATTATTAAAATATTTTTTTTATTCTAAATACCCATAAGTTTCATTAAATATAAGTATAATATATGATAACTAACAAAATTTTGAATACAGAATATTAAAATATGATTTTATGATTATTAAGATAACGAGAGATCGGTCAGTCATTTAAATGATTTTCCGGGTCACTATTAAAAAATAATTAACCTCCCCCTCCCCGTAATTGTTTAAGGGAATGAAATCGAAAAAATAATTAAATGATTGCATAATATGCTTTTTTGGCACAATTAAATCAACTTTTGTGGACACCCACAAAGGCTATTTGTGCAATCACATGTGAGTGGGGATTGTTAAGGATATATGCATATTGTTAGTAGTAGAGTGACAACCAACTTATCTAACCACCCGCTATTCAATTTTTATTCTGACCAATCCCTTCCAATTAATTTCCGGGTCTCTATTTAAAAATAATAATAGGCACAATTTCAATAAAAAAATTTAAAAAGTCTAACAATTTCTAAACAATCAATGAAATAATACATATGTTTATTTAATAAACATTTTAAGGCAAAAATAATAAAAATCAAAAAATAGATTTAAATTAAAAATTAAATTTACATATATTTAAATATGTAGTATAATAAATACCATTATATAAAAAATAATTAAATAATTTTCTTCGTCGTTTTATTGTCTGGGTTTAATGTTTGTTGAGAATTGAAGCAAAAAATCTAATGTTCTTTCCTTTAAAAAGTAATTGTTATAAATTTAATTTAATTGGAGGAAAATTGGTAAAATAGTCAAAAAGAATATTTTTTCTAATTAATTACCTGATCTAATTCCCCTTTAGAATCTCTACATTCTGGACATAGAAAAGACGGGGGAAATTGTTCTTTAGGAAATTGAGGGTCTTCAGTTGCCTCGTCTCCATGTAATCGAGCATTAACGGTATTGTGTGCTTTCCACAAATAGCCAACAATATCTTCTCGAGTTTTAACCTTTTTAAATATTTAAATTTATTTTTTACTTAAAATTTTTTTTACATTTCTTTCATCCATCGGGAATTTTTCGGTAGTCATGGACATAAAATGTCGTCGACAACCAGAACAACTAAAGAATGAGGAGACCCAAGCTTGGATGGCTTTTAATGGTTTTAACGATTCTTGTTCATTATCTTTATAATAAAAATTAAAATTAATTTTAATTATTTTTTTAATTTACTTAAATAAGCTTGAACAGTCATTGCATGAAATGCAGTCCATAATCCACAAGTAAAACCTCTAAATATTGGTTTACTTCCTTTACAATGTTCCCACTCTGCTTGAATTGGGAAAGGCTCAGAATTTTCTGCCTAAAATTTTAATTTATTTTTTAAAATTATTTTTATTTCTTTTTTTACTTTTGCTGCATCAAATTCATTTTTCCAATCATCCATTGTAATTATTTCATTTTTATCCAAAAATTGCCTCATTCTATTAAATACTTGTATTGCTTTTAAACTCCATGATAAAGGCTAAAATACAAGTTTTTTGAATTTATTTTTTTATTAAAAACAATTTACTTTTCCAACAGAAAGACTTTTTGGATGTGTTGGAGGCAAAGAACGCTCAAATGTTTTTCTTGGAAAACGCTAAAATATATTAAAAATATTCCTATTTAATTTTATTTAATCCCCTCACTTGTATTAATAAATCTAAGAATTTCTTTAAATTAGAAATTCTTTGAGAATCTAATTCATTTCCACCAGAACTTATTACTTCATCTAAAAGTGCTGCATGAATTGCTTTAAGCATATCAGACTCTGATACATGAAAGAGTTGTTTGCACCTAAAAATGCTTGTTAAATTTAACTAAATCACTAAATTATTTTCATAATTTAAATGAATATTTTGTAGAACCCCTTATTTTTCAATAAATCTTTTACTACCTTTCTGGATTTTTTGCACAATCCAATACATGAATAGGCTTTTTAGCATGGGCCTCTGCTTGTTCTGTCTGATTTATTTGTTCCATTAAAGGGTTTATTAATTCGTGTAATTTAGGTAATGTTGAATCCGTTATACTTTAAATTAAATTATTTTCCTTTAACACTTTCTACTCAAATTTTTCCTCACCTTTCAGCCATTAAAGGTTCTGTTTTCCCTCCTCTTTCTAAAACAACAACATAAGGTAATTGTTCATCTCCATTCTTTTTATTTTTCTGTTCAACCATTAATCTAACATCATTAGGCCCCCAAACAAGTACTCGACGAACTTCAACTTGTGGTTTAAATAATAATAAATCTAAGGAGAATGGCAATCCTTTCTCCGGATTTCTTTCAAAAATATAGACTAAAAATTTTGTTCCGTTAGAAACGCCTTCCCACGGATCTTGCATTTGTGTATTTACAGCATATGAAAATGTTGGAGCATAAACACTTTTTGGAGGAGCTGGAAGTGATGTACTGCATAATTTGGCGAATTTACTGAAAAATGTGTCGATTGAATTGTTTATTTAATTAATAATTTTACTATAGTTAATTAA